CACCGCCCGCACCTGAGGAACTACACACACACACACACACACACAGACATGAGCAAAACGATTGTTAACACACTGCAGAGAACCACGGCTGTCTGTTCACTGACGGACTACAATTGATTCACTCCGGCTGTTAATTAACGCTGTGTTAACGGGAATCTGCAGGGAGGGGCCACAGCGTCTTCACGCTCGATAACTGCTGATGAATGGATCTCACACACACACACACACACACACACACACACACACATTAGATCAATATGACACAAATCATCACAGAAATTATGAACGTCAATACAGGGAGGCATGTTTAAATCACTCTACGCTCTGGATCAGCTCTAGTTCTCTAGATCTACACTAGCACACGAGTTTGAACTCGTTCAGATCAGCGGTGTTACAGGAATAAGCCGTAAGAGGCGGATTATACACAAGTGTTAAGGCATGATACAAAACTGAGTAAACCACAATGTTTTATTTACTTATTTTTAATACATTTTTCCACCAAGTACCACAGTTCATGATTTAAATCGAAAGTTGCTAAATGTGAAAATCCAGCTAACAGGGAAATTTGGCTAACATTTTGGCAAGGTTCTCTCAAAGTCATGAAAAATCTGTAACGTTAACAGAATATTCATTCAGATCTGGTCCCAGAAAATTAGCACAAAAACAGTATTTATACAACGTTTCCCTTATGTTTTTTCTAGTAAGACATTTAAATGTCGTTTGGTTTTGTTCTAGAAAGAGATATAAATGTTGTCCGGTTTTTGAATTAGTAAGAGATTTAAATGTTTGTTTTTTGTTCTAGAAAGAGATTTAAATGTCATTTGGTTTGGTTCTAGAAAGATATTTATATGTTGTTTGGTTTTGTTCTAGAAATATATTTAAATATCAATCGGTTTTGTTCTAGAAAGAGATTTAAATGTTGTTTGGTTTTGTTCTAGAAATATATTTAAATATCAATCGGTTTTGTTCTAGTACGATATTTAAATGTCGTTCTGGTTTGGTTCTAGAAAGATATTTAATTGTTGTTTGGTTTTGTTCTAGAAAGATATTTAAATGTCATTTGGTTTGGTTCTAGAAATATATTTAATTGTTGTTTGGTTTTGTTCTAGAAAGAGATTTAAATGTTGTTTGTTTTTTTGTTCTAGTACGATATTTAAATGTCTTGTTCGTTTTGTTCTGGAAAGATTTAAATGTCGTTTGGTTTTTGTTCTAAAAAGAGATTTAAATATCTTACTAGAACAAAAACCAAACAACAAAAGTTTTCTTGTCTTTTATTTTGATATTTTGCCTTGTCATGGTTCCTGTCTAGTCATGTGATTCCCTTGCCCTCATGTTATCCT